ATTCTAAACTGAATTAGAATTAAATTATGCTGAATGTCATTCTGATGTTCATTGGGACGGATATTGCAAGTCATTCGTTTGAAAGCGTTGGACCGGTTTCTTTTTCCGCTCAATGGGTGTATCGCAAAATCGACATTTAAAATACATTTCGTTCCAAATAAATGGAAAATAATATTCAGCGCTGCCATTCCTATAATGCGCTTCGACTTCCAACGTCCCTGTAGTAAAGATAAACAACTTGAAGGATTTAGAAAGATGTCCAGTTAACGAAACATATTATCCGTTGTATTGGTGGTAAGATATACTATTCAGTGAATGATGTTTGATGTCGGGATTTCATAGTTATACATTGTTATAACATTAACACATAAAATCTGTAAAATTTAGCCACGAAATATTTAAAATTTCTGTAATTGTGAAAAGATGATGAAGAAACGTATAGAAAAAGGCGGTGAGGGAATATTCAATTACTCGAACATGTCCAATATTTAAACAAGATTATGTTCGAAATAAAATTGATTATTGAAGACGTGAAGTAAAAGATGTACACTAGTGTTGCGGTAATTGCTTGTAACTTTCTTTGTATCTCGACGCACGAATTTGCTTACGAATATTTCACACATATTTATTTAATCCCAAATTATTGTGTGAACTTTCATTTTACTGAATTTTGTCAGATATTTGTGAGCCGTTTTCCGAAGGGATTTGTAGGTTTAAAACTTTCGAAGGCTCACGTTTCAACTGGAACGATCTCATCGTTTCAAACACGGTGATAATTTTGATCTCTTGTTAGCGATGCGTATTTAATGAGTTTGGATAAACCAGCATTTCTATAAGAACCCCCAAACAAAAATAAACTCGTGGTGTTGCTTCTCTTCTAAACTGAATTAGCATTAAGTTATGCTGAATGTCCTATTGATGTCCATAGGGACGTAGACGTTTCATAACAAACCGAAGCAATACGTTTGTGAATAGAAAGCACTTGACTCAACAAGAGTTGATTCCAGTTAAGACCATCACAGTGAGCTTGAAAATAGTAAACGAAAGATTCAATAATTAATAAATTTGAACTTACACTTAGCATTGGCCGACATCGGCAATTCATTGTGTCGCAATTGAGCAAAACATTGAAAAATGTTAGAATGTGTCTGTTGTGTTTCCTTGGAGAGGTCATGTGAAACACAAATAACAACAAATAACAACAAATAAGTGATGAGTAGAGAACTGAAAACAAAATGTAAATTTTTCATTTTCTTTTTAACAAACAACATTTAACTAACACTCCAATTCGGTGGCAAGTTGTGTCATCCTTCCTCCGTTCGAAAGCCTCTTACTCTCTTTCCTCTTGAGTTCTTTTACCGTGGGCCACCCCACCCACCTCTCTTCTCAGCCCCTTTGCGCGAGCAGAGGCCCGCAGGGGTGGTGCGAGGCGTGGAGCGGAGCGGGCGGAGGTTGTGCTGCCCGACTCTACCCCACGGAGGGTGTCAGACGGGGAAATGCTTAACATTCTCCCTTCAGTTCCTCGTTGGTCGGTGAGGTGAGCAAACCTCCGTTCTCAAGACTCAACAATGCGTGCAAGAGTATTCGTTAGAATTGTGTTAGTGTATACGTTGATACGAGAGTCCACGGGAATTAATAGTCCCAGTATTTACGATGCGTTAACAGCCATCGGAAGAGTTTTGAATTTTGTGAATGCAAGCTCTGAGAATGTGTATGCAGACCTACTTCTCGGAGTTGTTATCACGCAAGGTAAGTGTGATTATTGAAATATTTCCGTCGCTTCTCCATTGCATACCCTTGATAACTTGCGATAAGACACTGTAATGCTCATTTTCTGGATTGTCTTCTCAGTTGAGAATTTGTCATCTCAAGTGAAATTAAATCCGAAATTAATTTTTGTCATAAGCATAATGCTAGTAAGTTACCTTTTGTTGGTGTTTTATTGTGTGAAATATTAATTTTTGAATTAGATGTTGTTACTCTCCGAAAATTTATGATGTAATGGTTATTACTTTTACTGAATATGTTTTATATCTTCGTTAATGAACTGTTTAACGCTCGTGTTCAATACACCGTGAAAGGTACTTTATGGGAATTCGATGGGGCGTTTATAAAAATACGGATCGTGTTAATAAACTATATATTGAATAAGAAACAACTAACTCGAGTGTGTGACTAAAAAAATGTTTAAAAGATATTCAACAATTTATTTGACAGCCATTACCAGTTATTCTGCGACCTATTTGCTATATTACACACGTTTTAAGAGGGAAAAGATAAGTGGTCATCCACTTGTTTTTGTTTGTTATAATTAAGATTCAATTTAATATAATTTAATAAATTTTTGACTGAACCCACTCATGACATTCCATTTACAAGTGCTTGTTACAGGACAATTAAATGTTGTAAAGCGCAACCTGAATGTAAATACTTATATTACGAGAGAATGGAAGATAAGTCGTCATCCCGTCCTGGAATCTATTGAGAGTCTTGAAATAAAATGTCAAAGCATTTTAAATGCAACCCGAGAGAAGATTATCATTAAAAACGATGAAGTCTACAAAAATTGTAAGTCAAGAGGTTTTATTCTTCGTTTATATTAATTTATTGAATTGAACAAATAAAATTGATAATTTTCATTAGTTCATGGTAATATCAGCAAGAATGTATTTCTGTCATCAACAATATTACAGTTTGATCTTACAAACGCGTTATTTTAATATATTTTGGTAACCTGCATTGGAAATGTCAATTAAGATAGTAGAATATAATACGTGAGCACAGTTTGCATGAAATATCTAGTTTGCCAGTCAGATGTAGTTTCTTAATAATTATCAGTACATTTTGCTCGCCGTAATCCTACAATGGCAGCGTAATCAGACATTATGTACGTTTTCCGGGTTGTTGCCACTTGACGTATATAAAATAGGTTAACATCGATATTTTTATTGTTTAAAGAAACCAATATATTTTCTTTTATCTGATGTTCTCGTCGTTGACAGGAGTAGTTTCGTTTTGGTAGAGTAGTCAGCGAATCCCTTAAAATTTCGGAAGAACTTCACTCCTTCAACACTTAATATCTAAACGCCAGCCTTACTCTCTTAAATAAACATATTATTATAATTTTATGAATATAATATTATGTATCTATAATATTGTTTGCAACACGTTACAAATCACATTCATATAACAATATTTTCACTCTGAGACACTTAATTTATATTTAAATATAAATGCACTTCTATTGTAGGAGTCAAAATGATTGGGACAACAAAATATCGTAGATTCTTTATTGAATTTCATGACGTATTTGGTTTTTCTGCGAAAATTCTCATTTTTTGAAAAAAAATACTTTCTTACTTTCGGGGGCGCAATTTGAACTGGCAGTCACCTCACCAATGTTAATTGGCGCGCGAAACGTCCTTCCTTGTCAGTTACAACAGAGTTAATTCAACGGCCAGTTAATACGTATCTGGAAGCAAAAGTGCGTGACTCACTGGATTTTTTATTGATTGATTGATTAGTGATTTTGAGGGCGTCAACTGCTAAAGTCAGTAGTCCCGTAAGTGTAATACATCGTTTTGCACGGAAAGTGGCGGTAATATTCCCCCGCTGGATGGTAAAATCCGGCGCCGAACTAGCGGATTTTCCCCAAACCAGGTATCTCCCACCGCCCCAGCCGGGACAAGCTCTAAGTTCACGACATGTGTGTAGGTAAGAGGTGAAGAGACAAGGAATGGGAAGGAAAGATCGTTTGCGGCCCGTGACCCGTAATCCTAACTGGAGACACACTATTAAGTTAAATAATTTACGTAATTTACTCTTCATTAATTTATAATATATAATGTTAATTATATAATGTTATATATACAGCTTTGTTTTCTCCGTATTCACTTGAAATTCTGCAGCGCGATTCAGTTAGTAATTAACGCGTTCACTTAAAGATGTCAACATCAGTGTTGCCAATGTCATGAAAGAAAATTATGGCGTATGGAGCAAATATTGTCTTTATGTTCTGGAGTGTAATCAACGCCACCTACATAGATGTATTTAGGTGGCGATGGCTTAATTATCGATATACTCACCAAGGCCGCGGCGCCAAGACACACAAAAACGTTTTTGGAAATTTCATTGAATCTTCTGGCCGGACCGGGAGAGATGGGCCAGGGCGAACACTGATGTCACTGCAGACCCACATGCTTCGCAAAAGAATATCACGTTCTGACCCTCAAGCACGGATCACAGAGATTGTTGACACGTTGTCCTACCGACGTGTATTTCATGGTCTAGACTATTTGTATGCACCCAATTCTAAAGTAATTGTACGTTCGATCCAAATTTCCCTTTACTAAATGTCTTGGGAGGGATTTCTGGTATGCCACTCATGCACTACACTATCACATATGCTGGGAGACCAGTCGGGAGCTTAGACTTGTCGCAGCTGGAGCGGTGCTCCGCTGGCGGGAGATATTTGTTCGAAAACAAAACTCTGATCTCGCCATCAACTAAAGAAGACCACCGCCAGCTCCCGCGATAAAAAGGCACTACACTTACGGAACTAATGAGCTCAGCAGTTGACACACCCGGAATCACCAATCAATGAACCAAACAATCAATCAATGTGTTGATATCCACGATCGTTTCCTTGATCGCTTCGCTAGTTATGAGAGGAGTGGGGAGTTCGGTTATTTTGACACAAGGAATTTTATGTATTTTTTAGATGCAAAATATTTTCTATTACAACGGAGCAAACGTTTCTAAATCAGATGTTGCGTACAACGCTCGTTGCTGTTATTTGCTCTTAATTCACCTAATGTTGGCTAAAGAGTGGGGGGTAGATATTCCGGGGCCCAAGGAAACGCGCGCGTGTAATACAGTGCTTTGTTATTGCGTGGTCGTGCGTGAGCGGTTGTGCTCGGCCCGCAGTGGTGCGCGAGGTGCTGCGCCCGGGGCGGTGGGCGTGGGCGGCGGCGCCGCGGGCGCTGCGCGGGCGGC